TCTTTAATGATATTCATCTGTTTGTTTCCCTTTCAGTAGGTTTGTCCTGGCATTTGTTGGAACTTCTGATCTATCTGTTTTAGATACACCATCAGCCAGTTCATTACTGTCCTATAAAACCTGTTTTCCTTACAGACATTTTTTTTTTTTTTTTTTTTTCTGGTGTTAGGCATATGTCTGTGATAGAGCAAGAACCTAAATTAATTTCTCTTGCACTTCAATGTTCATAGTGTAAATACTGAATTGTTGTTCTTCTGACCAAAAGAAGGGGAAGGTGAGATGACGTTTGCAATACAGTTTGGAGAAAATTCAGTGGGAAGAAGTCCAGTGAGTGTTATGCACAGATCCACTCTTCCTTGATTCCGTAACATGCATCTCAATTGAATCTTTGTTTTTTCAACAATTTATCAGTAATCTAACACAGCAGATGTTTTGCATGTTGTTTTTCAAAGGCTTTCTTTTTGTTTTGCTTGTTAAGTAATCTGTGAGTCATTTGAAATCTCTTCATTGTTGCCTTCTAAGATTTTCAGTTAATAGGGCTTGTACAGTATGGCTCATTTGGCTAGCATAAAGCTTGAATTAATCTTGAAGAAGAAAAGAAGAAAAGGTGGAGGAAATCCGATGAACATGTGTGTTATATGTTCCAACCATTCTCTTTCCAGTACCTCTCTTCATTAAAAATAAGAGAAAACAGGGAAGGAAGCATTTGCAGTTGACATTTTCTTTGAGTATTAAATTTAACTTGGGAATGCAATTTTCATCTCCTTAAAATTTTTCATTAACCTCTTACTATATATATTTTAATATTATATATATTAATATATACTTGTAAATATAGTGTGGAAAAACAACAATGAGCAATACTGAATCATAGGTGTGAGTCATCATCTGTATAATGATAGAGAAATTTAGACAGGCAGACATTTGGTTCATTTTTCTTTGGGTATCTGTTCATTTTCTACCTATTTTTCAATATTTCTGTTGGAAGATGTCCAAACTCAGCACTTTTAGGTACAGTTCCAAATTGTGTTCGGCATAGATTTATTTTAGCTCAACTACAAAAAAAATTACATTTTTTAACGACAGGAACCAAATTTCCTCAGAGTGTAGGGGCTTTGGAAGTTTTGTTTTATCATGGTACATTTCTGTACCACTTCAGAGTTTTCCCAACTATCATTTCAACTCTCAGAATTAAAACAAGCTAAAAAGACGTAATTCTGTCTGTGTTGTAATATCACTGTATGATTTACATATATGTTTACATGTTATTTGAACATACCATTGTTACGGTGACAAGTGATTTTTCCTTAGTGGAAAAAAAAAAAAAAAAGAATGGCACATATTTCAGCAGATGTACACAATTTCAAAGAAGTTATTATGCAGCTGCAAGCCCTGTCAGACACAGGTTGTGTGATTTCTGTATCAGTACATGAGTAATCACGTCGTTCCAGCATCCAGTGGTCCTACTGCTCTTGAATGCCCCATCACCTGAATACTGGAAGATAAGTTTCCTGTGAGTTTTCCACTGAGTTTTGCTCTCCTAAGAAACATCCATACCATCTGTAGTCTGTAGTGCACAGGTGGATAAGCAGCAGCAGGAAGCAGCCTGTGGATGGCTTGCTGTATTCCAAATGCTCACTAACTACATCCAGATCACTCAGAACTGCAGGTCAGGCCCATCTTTAAGAAATCAGACTTTACCCTTCTTGCTCTGTTTTATGGAGTTCTCCTGTTGCGCTAGCACTGCAAATAAACCATACTACGGAAGGATGTTTTACTCTTCTTAACAGGTACATGTGTATCCTCTTTCCATTACACCTTGAAATATCTTTTAATGAATTTTTAGGGAGGAAAGATAATGTATTTATCATGATAAACACAAAAATTTCATTTGTGGTTTTTTTTTTTTTTTTTTTTTTTTTTTTTTTTTTCCTTAACACTTTTTACACAGGCCAAGTTTTGTTTTTAACACGCACACACAAAAAAATTTCTTAGTGACTGGAAGAGCATAAAGGGCTTTTCCTCTCCTGAGTTTGGTACAAAATATATTTTGTGATTCTATTTAATATATTCTTGAAATAGGCATGCACTGAGATCCCAGAATTCATTCTCCTCAACCCACTCTGTAGCCCAGTAGTGCAATTACAAGGAATTATCTTCTAGCTGTGTGCTTCACAATGTTAATTCTTTATATATGCAGAGTCAGGAACTTGGAATTTATCTCTCATGTAAAAAAGTTGTGGTGTCCTGTTTTCTTGGGATTGTAGCAGATTTGGAAAACCAATTATTTTGAACAGTGCCTCCCTTGAATGATGTCCTTGAACTATGTCCTCTTGTATGTAAATATCTCAAAGAGTAGATGACATTCCTGGACTTCCTCAAGGTTGGGAGTCTGAATGTATTTCTCCATAAATCCACAGATGATCTGCCAACCCAGGTCTTCCTGTTTAGACATGGTGTACCTTTATGGATATACATTAACCTGTTGTCTCATCTTGGAATTGGATGATTTTTTTTTTTTCCCCCTGAGATAGATGATTTGTAGCAGAAAAGATATTTTGACTATATGGTTTTTCTACTGAAAGGTCTGAAAATACCTTAGTTCCTTTAGTGTACTCTTTTTGTTACAACTTTTTTCTTTTCTTGTAGTACTTTTTATAAGTCATGAGATTTAAAAGGGGAAGTTTTAGCCTGGAACTTTTTATCTTTGAAATGGCTTATCCTCTTTGGGCTTCCTGCCTATACTCTTTTCATACCTTGATACAGTTGCTGTCACCATCCCTCCCGCAGTGTCACTCTCCAGTGGTCCCATTGTATTAATCCTGGAACTGCTTCTTCACAGTAAGTTGGATCATCTTTAAGGTTCAGGGAATTATTTCAGGATGTTATTACTGGGCAAGCCACTGACCTGATGTTCTTGCCTCAAAGAGAATGGACTAGGTTCTATTTCCATCATACATGTTCTGCATGATTTCAGTACATCTGGCTGAAGCCAGTATTTTAGTCTTTGCTTTAATTTCTTTTCTGTCAAACACCTCTGGAAAATTAGGTTTAGCATTGTCCATCCTATTCCCCTTAGAATTTTAATTAGCTCAGAGCTGAATACCTAGTGCAGTGCAATTGTATGTATTTGATTTCTACAAAATTATTTGTCAAAACTAAATTGCTATGATTCCATTAGCTTTTGTAATGCATTGCTGTATATCTGCAGGCAAAGCAATATTATGAGGGAAAACTTACAGATCTAATCCATTCAGATGTCACTGTAAAATAGATAAACTCTCAGCTTTAGGCTGTGAATGTGGTCTGTGTGTCGTAGGCTTATGCCGCGTCATTTTTTGAGTGGTAGAGAGGGAAGAAAAGCAAGGTAAATATGAACTTTTCTTTACTTAGAGTCCCTAAGGACCTGATCCAGGCATATCATTCTGTGCCCAATATGCTTAGTGATGCCAAAGACATATAAAGCTGCTCCACAATCCCAGCTGAAAGTTCCCATCTCATGTGGAAAGCTGGATGTGTGAAAGCAAAGTTGCCTCCTCTGGCTTTGTACCACATGCCCTCTCACTTAAGTAACATCCTCGGTGTCACTGGAACACAGGTGTGCGGAGGGTGGGCACACAGTGCTCATGGCAGCCTCCTGCAGGCACCAGTCCCTTGAGGACCATGTGGCTTGGAGGAGACCTTAGACTGTAGGCTGCCTGCCAAGGTGTAAACACTCAGCCAGGGATTTGGTTTCTCACTTTTCTCTCTTGCTGTACTCAGTAGCGTTCTTATGAATGTCAGCAGTGACTCCCCTGGGTGAGGCATATGAGACAACAGAGCCCAGTGGAAAGCAATGAACATAGCAGAATAGGGCTATAGGGCAGAAATCACTGCACGGGCAGTCCTCATTGTCACAGTGGGAGGGACAGAGGATCATCCTGGTTCTCTTGGACATGAGAACTGTTGCATGTTCCCAATTTGAATAATGCAGATATACCGGGCAGCACATCTTCAGCTCGCTTTGTTAAAGGATATTGTTATTCAAGTGAAAAAAAAAAAAGGGAGTACAGAGTGGAAGTCCTCCCACCAACCGTCTGTCCTAGGGAGGGCTTCTTGGTGAAGAAGGGACAGGTGCCTTAGAAGTGTCTTAGTCACCTTCCAAATGCAAAAGGAAAAAATGTAAATAAGGAGAGTCCATATGGTGCAATTTGATCCTATATAGAACAAACAAGGCTTCATCCAACGTGTTTTAATTTTGGAAGTAGCTTGCTTTGAGTTTCACTAACTAATGTTTTCCTGTACTAACATTTGACTTGTGCATTGTTTTTATACTAGACATTGCCAATACAGGTGTGTGGCACAGATGCTGTTTTCACTGTGGGTTTTTCAGGAATATGAAACAATTCCTGCAGAGTGCCCACATTTGAAATATTCATAGATTTGTCTGTATGACATACTGATGTCCAAGTACTGACTTTATTCATTCATTAGTGATCCTCTGAAAAATGAGCTGGAGAAGTGGATGGATACCCTTATGAAGTTCAAAGTCTGGTAGAGGTCCATTGCAAGTCTTCCAGATCTCAGGCCAAATTATTCTCTTATGCAACATCAGGCTGTGAAGTCGGCTCTTCTTTTTCTGCATAGCTGAGGAGGTGCTGTTAGTACTTGCTGACGAGCCTTTGCTCTGCTTAGCTCTTTTTTCCCACCTCGTGGGTGGCAATGGAAAGGTATATGTGTTGGGCTTCAGTCACTGCATGGTGCAGTGTCAGGATGAAAACCAACACCGCACAGAACTGCAAAATACAGACAGAACTAGCCATGTTTTCTCAAACCTAGAAAAATATTCTTAACAGTGGCAGGTTTCTTTCGGTAGCTAATGAACACTGAAAAGAACAAAAGGATAGCAGAGAAACATTGAATATGGATTTTTTTTTTTTTTTTTTTTTTTTTTTTTTTTTCAGAGTTTCAATGCTGAAGCCTTTAGAAGAGAGCACTTACAGATGTTTGATTTCTTTCAGGTCCTCAGATTTTGGGACGTTATACACAAAGTTGAATCTACAGCCTGGGATTGCCACTGTTATTGACAATTTCTACATTTGTCCCACCAACAAAAAAAAGGTATGTGGCAAAAAAAAATGACTTTTTATAGTGCAGCTCAGATTCTGCAACAGTGTGAAGTGTGTTTTACAGGTTTTCAAAATATAGGGAAGTGGTTTTCACAAAGTTGCAGGTCACCTTTGGTGCATTTGTGACATAAGGAAGTGGGATATTTATTCATCCTGAATAATATAGAAAAGGAAGAAATGCCTTGATGGACTCTGAAAACTTTTGAGGCCATTAACTCCTGGTAATTGATCTTCCATGGAGTTTTCCATAGAAATTAAAAATTAATTCCTGTTGCTTTTCACACATCCACACAAATTCTGGGACTAACATTCAATCTCTTCATCCATTATGCACAATTTCAAAGTTCTTTGCACATTTCTTAAACTATAGCATAGGGATTTGGTAGGCTGTCATTGAGAATGATGTTTATCCTGTGTAAAACCTTAATTAAAAAATAAAAAAAACCTCTCCTTCAAACTGTTTCTTAAAAAATGTTCCTGCATCATTACTGAACCAAAAAGCTTTTCACAGAGCCTAGGAAGATTCAGTGGACTTTATGAGTGTGAAATCGACCCATTGAGTGTATTTACAATGGATGTTATATTAGAAGCAACAGGAAGAGTGATTATGAGAAAAAAAAAAAAAACACAAAAAACCAACCACAATAACAACCCTTCTATGTCTGCAAAATGCCTGGGATTTAAACATCAAGAATTGTGAAATACATTGTGAATAACGCAAGCACAGTAGGTCTTTCATGAAATAAGAATTTTCTCTTGATAAGGGGCTTTTAACTCCAGTATTATACAGAAGCATTGATTTCATGCAGAGGCCACTGATTGGAGGGACAATGTTACTTGTGTTTATCTGTCTGTTCTGCTTAATCAAAAATCAGTGGAACTCGGCAAGGCTGCCTGGATGATTAAATACATATTTTATTTCTCTTGCAATTGTCACTAGAGTTTTTGTGCCCAAGCCATGCTATGCCTGATCTTGGTAATATATTCCTAATCTGTTGAAATGACAGAAATTACTGTGTTTTTTTTTTTCTTGGAGTGGAACTACCACCAAGCACAGTGTTTCTGCAGTTTGTCTGTGTCAGAGATAAGATCTACTGGTGATTTCACATCCAAAAGAATAAAACCAAAAATCTTTACCCATCTCAGTTTCTGGAATAAATGCTGAAAATATGAGATGTATGAGAGCTCTGTGGAGGATTTTTCCCAGCTCATCCAGCTACAATCTAAAAGCCTGCACAAGCACAAGGTAGTCAGTGACAATGTGGTTGTACCAGTTGTCTGGCAAAATAAACAGTAGTGAGATCACTTCTGAATATCAAGCCTGAAGGACACACCAGTGTTCACAAAAAAATCTCATGTGAACCCTATCTTAGAAAAATCTATATTCTGTTCAAGACAAGTTGAAGTTCTTAGAGATACAAACCCTGCCTTAGTAAATGAATATCATATTGGAATCCATCTGTTGCAGAAAGTCCCTCTGAGTCATTAAACCCCACAATTTTTATGCTCAGATTTGCTTCTGTGAAGATGTTCAATAGTATATAAAAAACAAAACCAGCAGAACAGAAAGGATTTCAAATGATGCCAGCAAGAGATACATTTATATGTACAAATGTACATACATACAGGCATATATGGTACAAAAATGGTGAAATAATTGGGGTTAAATGCTGTAACCAACAGCTTCAGACTGGTCTTGGAGGTGTTGCAGTCACACATGGCAGGTAAGGGGGAATTCTCCATGTCATAAGAACTCTGTCAGTTGTAATGGGAACTTTTCTGGTGATGGACATTTGATTAGGATACTAACTAAGACTACTAGCTTATTTCACAAAGACTGTTTAGAAAGATGGAAGAACATGTCTCCCTGTCTGTCCATTTCAGCACAGTTGCATTGGGACAGAATAGAACATTTAGAGCTCTGACTCTCTTTTCTTAGCTGAGCAGAAGTCTTGGGGTTTCACTCATTCCTGATGTTACCAGACTTCAGATCATTATGGTGTGAATTTTCTTCAACGCGTTCTCATCTTTTGAAATGTGCTGAAAATGGAAACTGGAGTGATGACCATGTGTACTAGAACCAAGCATGCACTTTAAATTTAAAGCATAAGTAATCCCTTGCTACCACTTAGCATTTAGGGACTGGGAATATGCATGAAAGAAAAAAAAGACATTGATGAGGATTTTTTGAATACTTTGCATATTAACCATTGTTCTGTGCATTCATTTCATTTACTAATTGTAGACCTCATCTGTGGAAGAACTGATACTGCAAATTTAATGCTCATCATTTCTGCATCAATGTCATCAGAGAATTAACTTCACCTGATTTTAGCTCTGTGGAATTTAGGTGTCTAGTCATGCCCTCTCCCTCTATAGTCAAAAGAGAAATGTGGGTAGCTCCAAGCATTTCATCTTGCTAAACCCATAAAATTACTTACAAGAATAAGACTGAAAGATCTTGTGGAGGTTCCTGTAAATTACTTGTGACTATTGTGGGTCTGAACAGAGTCTCACTGCAGCTTCCTACAGACATACAAAGAGATGAGTTGTGGTTTAACCCCAGGCAGCAAATAAGTACCACACAGTCACCAGCTCCCTCCCCCCCCAGTGGCATGGAAGGAAGAGCTCTGGAAGGGTAAAAGTGAGAAATCATGTGGGTTGAGATAAGACCAGTTTAATAATTGAAATAACATAAAATATTACTAGTAATAATAATAATAATAATAGTAATAATAATAATTTAAAAAAATTATAATGGAAAGGAAAATAGAGAAATAAACCCCAAGAAGGACAAGTGATTCAAATGGAAACAATTGCTCACCACCAACTGACTGATGCCCGGCCAGTCCCTGAACCACAGCTCACCTGCCAAACTCACCCCTAGTTTTATTGCTGAGCATGACATCGTATGGTATGGAGGGGAGACCTCATTGCCCTCTACAGCTACCTGAAAGGAGGGTGCAGAGAGCTGGGGATGAGCCTCTTTAACCAAGTAATAAGCGATCGAACAAGAGCTAATGGCCTCAAGTTGCACCAGGGAAGGTTTAGACTGGATATTAGGAAGCATTTCTTTCCAGAAGGGGTTGTTGGGCGTTGGAATGGGCTGCCCAGGGAGGTGGTGGAGTCCCCATCCCTGGAGGTGTTTAAGAAAAGAGTTGAAATAGCGCTGAGGGAACTGGTGTAGTTGGGAACTGTGATACTGTGAATATCCCTTTGGACAGTTGGGGTCACCTGTCTTGGCTGTGTCCCCTCCCAACTTCTTGTTCACCCCCAGCCTACTCGCTGGTGGAGTGGTGTGAGGAGCAGAAAAGGCCTTGACACTGTGTCAGCACTGCTCAGCAGTAACTGAATCATCCCTGTGTTATCAACACTGTTTCCAGCACAAATCCAAACCATCGCCCTGTACTAGCTGCTATGAAGAAAATTAACTCCATCCCAGCCAAAACTAGCACAAGATGGAAGATTTTGTTTTGGTTTTGCAATGCAATTAGATGAAATATTTGCTGGAAAGCTTCAGTCTAGTTCTTGGACTGACATTACTTCTTCAGTTTATCTCTGCCAGTATACCAGCTCCTGGAGTGATTTAAGAGCTTCAGTCAGCATGCCTCCACTCTGTGAGCTGCAGTTATACCATACAGACCAATGGACTTAATAAATGAGCTTTATACAGCAAATGTGAAACTGTACTGGAAATTTTTACTCCTTGTGAATTACTTTAGTTTGCATTTTCTTAAGATGCATTGGAAAAAAAAAAAAAAAAGGGCTATTTCTTCTCTATCCCATTGTTTAAGAAGTTAAAATTCAATAGAATTATAATGTTGTTCATGAAGAAGTGCATTAGCAGATGCAGACGGTACACCAGCATCCTTTTCAGATAGTACTACATGGAAAAGAGATTGTATTTAAAAAAGAACAAAATTACAATATAAAATATAGGAATGCTGGGGACTTTGAAGTAGCTGGTGGAAGAATGGAAATTGTCTATAAAACCCACTAAATCCATGCAACAAAGTGACCCATTCCCTTTCTTTCTTACCCTTCTATGAAAAAGTTGTGGTAAGTACTGTTTCATAGGTCTAAGATGAATTGGGAAGGAGTTGTATCAAGGTTGTGTCTACACAGTCTTCTTGATGATGGAGGTAAATTCCCTCAGTCTGGGTCTTTTTCTGGCTGAACACAGCAGAATTCTGATGTGGAAACTGTGTTGCTGCGGTTACCACAGGATTCAAGCTGCAAAACCCAGTTTTAACAAGAAATGATGACAAACATCTGAGGGTAGAGCTTTAGAGGGTTTTGTGTATCGCTCTGAATGAATCGTTCTGATGAAATGGTGAGATGGAGACAAGAACCCTGGCTGTATCATTAGTGATTCAGAGCTGAATTGCAGTCAGCCAGCAGCACAGTAGAAGACATTTGCACCTACCTGCAAAAGACCATGTAAGCTCACCCTAAAGGCTATGAAACAATAAATAAGTGAGATAACGCTGTCATTAAGAGTCCATGCTGTTATTAAGAGTTCATGCTTCCTAAGAATGCATTAATACTTGTTTTGCATTCTGGCTGGTTTTAGTCTAGTACAAACCTGCAACCAAAGACACTGAAACTGTTATTCTGATTTGGTTTTGGAAAGAAGAGTAATGAAGGTGAGTTCTCCTGTGTGAGCTCTGTGATGCTAACTTCTCCATTTGAAGCACATTGTCATTGATCTGTGACATAAAATAGCCTTATTCCATGCAGGCCTTGAACTGCTGTCCATTGTTAAGGGATGTTCCTGCACTTTAAACCAGAATTTACTAATTATCCCCTTTTCAGTAATTGCTCTATACCAATAGCGTCAAATAGTTCAGGCATCCCATAATGTCCCATGTGGGAAAAAATTATTTGTATCCTTTGTTTTCCAAAACAGCATTATAACTGTGATTTGAACGTGATGCCCATGATTCATGGAGTATGGGATTCTGCTTTCCATAGTGTCAATCTGAAGTCAGC